CGTCCATGCTGGCTCTCGTCCCCATCGGCAATTTCGGCTATTGTTTTCTGAGGTATGAGGAATTTGTCATTCCGCCCATGGCTAGAGCTGTGTTGATCTTGGTGATTTTTGTTTCTCCCGTTTCGAAGCTTTGAGATTGTATTTGTAGACCAATTTGCTGAATTCTTCGTTTGCCCCCACGTTAGTTTGGGGGAAATTGCAGATGCGAGTTTTTTTGTCGTAGACTATTTTGCCCCTGCCGTCTTGAGTTGCAATGATTAGACAATGTGTGATGATCACCTAATCATAATGAAACGGTAGGTTAATCTAGAGAGAACTATGCTCATAAATCACGGAGTGAAATGTAGATAGAGAAAACTATGATGGATTTTATTATGCAATTCAAATATGCATTGAAAGAAGCAGGTAACTCTGAAGAGGTCAAGGGTTTGGTGAACGGCAGGTAATTCTGAAGAGGTCAAGGGTTTGGTGAATGAAGCCATGTCAACAATGAGCACTGACTAGATCAGAAGCTTGTCTGTTAGGCATGGGTGTCTTACATTGACAAGTCAAAGTCTTTCTTCTGTTATTGTAAAATACTAACAAGATAACACCATTTGCTGATTACCTGCCTACACATGTCTTCCAGTGTTGGTAATCTTTCTGCTCTTCTCTCCTTTCAGGATTTTGGTCTGCAGTATGTGAGAGCTTTGGCTTGTGCTGTTAATAAAGTGAGAATGCGTGGAGGTCTTGAGCTGTTCAGCTTTTTGTAATGCACTTGATTACTTTATTCACCAAGATCATTGGTGTGGTGACCATTGCTCTCGTTTCCATAGTTTCCATCTTGGGCCTGATCTGCCTAAGCCGAGCGGTGTATTTTCAGCTGTGGATCAACAGAAGAGGCTACCAGCGACTTAACTACTTCAACGGGCCGTGGCTGACACGGATAACACTAGTATTGGTTGCCTTCTGGTGGGGTATTGGAGAAGTACTTCGGCTCACTTTCGTGAATGGAGAGGGGAGGTTCACTTCTGACCAGATGTGGCAAGCAAATGTTTGCAAATTCTATATCATCTCAAATTTGGGGTTTGCAGAGCCAGGATTGTTCTTGTTGCTCGCTTTCCTTCTCAGTGCAGCTTTACAGAAGCAAGAGCTTGGTACCTTAAACCGGAAGTGGAATCAAAAAACCATACGTGCCATGTTTATTATCTGCCTTCCTTCGTTTGTCTGGGAAGCTTGTGTTGTTTTCATTGGTCCTCGTCTTGCTTCAGATGATGGCCAAACATCAAATCTTGGAAAGTTCTGGTATTCAGCCTCAACAGTCCACAATGGCAATGTCACATGCACATACCCACTGTTGAGCAGCATATTTCTTGGGGCATTCTACATCATATTGGCCATTTATGTGATGTTTGTTGGAGGACAGATGCTGTCTTTGGTGATCAACAAGGGGCTCCGACGGAGGATATACATGCTAATATTTGCCACTATGATATTACTTCCCCGAGCTACACTTCTTGGGCTCTCCGTTGTTTCATGGCCAGGTGAAACAGCCCATGAAACTCTCGTATTTACCTCCTTCCTGGTGCTGATGCTTGCTGCCATGGCTGGTATTGTGATTTTGGTGTATTTTCCGGTTGCTGATGCCTTTGCTATAGTTGATCAAGGGAACATTGAGATGCAAACGGATCAGGAGACTATCCTATGACTCAGGCTTTGTTATTTGACTGGTTGTTTAGCTGATTGTTCAAGGACAAATTGATGGCCATTCCATTGGTTTCTTCCCTGACCTGCATATGATCTCAGAGACATTGTAAACATAGAATAGATTAAATAGGGACAACATTCTCCTTTTTATCTTATTCTTTTTATGCTTTTCTCCACACGTTGGTGTGAAGAGAAGTCCTGTAAAATAGTTTCTACAGAGTAGTGAAGATCAGCCATGTTTTCCTTACTGTCTTCTGTACATTGAAAGAAGAGATTATACACTTTCACCTCTCCGAAAGGGGCTTATATCATGTGGGTGATGTCTCCACCATTTTAGTAGTTCAAGATTTATTTTTCTAAATGCTGTGTGTTCATATAATAGGATACTTAACTAATGTATCTTTTATAAACCAATTTGCATCTAAAATCTAACTTCAACGCTCCATGATGTGTCTCTCTTTCTTATTCACAAGCTTTATTGAGTATGGAAAAGATTTTCAGAATCTTGTAACCACCTACTGCCTATGTTGTATGTACTGCCTATTTATTGTTACCAGATTACCAGATTTTCAGAATCGTGTAACATACTGTCTATGCTGTATGTACAACTATCTCTATGTTTTAGATGGCCAGATTTACCAGGCAGTTGTATATACTACTATCTCTATTTTTTAGATAGCCAGATTTTGTTACCAGGCAGTTATATCCTCTCTCCTGTGTAAATTGCACAAATATAAACACATCGAGGGATGGAATTAAGCCACTCAGGGAAACCAGTAAAATATCACCGTTTTGTGCTGGGATCCAAACCACAGATTTTGGTTTCTCCACCCCCACTTAAAAATAACATACTCCCTCCCTTCCTAAATATAAGTCTTTATAGACATTCCACTACAAACTACATACAGATGTACATAGACATATTTTACAGTGTAGATTCACTCATTTTGCTCTGTATGTAAAAAGACATATATTTAGGAACGGAGGGAGTATTATTCTTAGCTTCAACAACAACAAAATCTTGCATGTACACCCGTCAAAAAAAAAACAAATATGTACACCATGCATTCGACTGGGTATAATATGGTCTCCAAGGCTCAAGTACAATCTTATGTTAGGGAGAACTGGGGCAGCAAAATCGAAGCCTGCCTTGAAGGTGCATGCAATTGGGATAACAAACCAAGAGTCGCCTAGAGAACACGAATCTAGTTCATGGGTCAACACTTGGTGTGAAAATTTATTTACAAATGGCACAATAGTTGCTCGAAAAACCATTCACGGCATGGATGATAGGCGACTGAGTGGTAAATCTCATCCCTATGGCTTCGTTTTTCTTTTTGGCACAAACTTTCTCTTCCATGAGAAACACAATGAACAGGCATCGATACGAGCCCTCACATTTCCCCTAAATAGTGCTGATGTTGGCAGTAGGTACTGCTCCTCCTTCCACAGTCTATTTAATGCTGCCATTTTTTTATGAGGCCAGGTATCTGAGAAAATATAAGTACCAGGCATTAGTTGGGAAGCGAAGCAAATATTGGGAAATGGAAATAAGGAGATTAGTTACTGACCTCAACACCATTGGGCCCTATTTTGTTGCGAGATATGAAGTTCAGTATGCGTGATGCAAATTCTTCAGGTACATCTTCCTGAAATGAAGTTTTCAGTAATATGCTAAAAATTGGTAAGACTTATCACTGATAGTTATAAAGCTTAATAATATCATTCTTCTGAAGAAATACGTTCGTCAACTATAACACTAGTATAATAACGAACAACAATCAGTAGATGAACCTTTGGTTGCTAATCCATGTGTGCTTCAGCATGTCAGCAAATTCTACGAAAAATCCAAATTAGCCATCAAGCATCTACCCATCTAGGCATGCTGTGGTCATTCAGGCCCTAGAAGCAGATATAAAGCGAAAACATCCAAGCCTTGGACTAAAGACATTAGAAGTACATTAGGATCAAACCTGTATGGCATGTCCAGTGTGTCGAACTACTATCATTTGAAACTTCCCTTGCATTTGACCAATTGTTAAAGCTCTGCAAAAAATGTTAACCAGTGCATTACACATACTTTCCTGCATGGGCTATGAAGTGATACAGGTGTTCACATTTCAGAACACTATTAAGGGAACAATGAGAATGCATGTTCGGAAAATGAAATCCTCTTAAATAGAAGGTTTGATAATGGATCAGCGTAATATGCTTTGCACTTCAAATAACTCTATCTTGATAGTCTGGTTGTTAGTGTGAGTCTAAACTAGTATAGAAAAACAAAACTCTTAAAAACATATTGCATGCCCTTAGAAAAGCATAGTGCACACTACATGCTGGTGCAACTGACACACAATGATAACAATTGATCGGAAATGAATAGCACAGAGTTAACTGATGAAGGTTTTAGCACAAGCCAACCGCGCAATAGTAATGAATGAAAATAGAGTTTCTCAGACTGGATGGATGTTGCAAACCTGTCCAATCTATCAGTGCCAGCTAATAATAGTATCTTTTGTACAGGACAAGATAAGAACTTGTCCGAAAGACCTTCGTACCTAAAACAGAAGCATTTATGTGCTTCAATGTCAACCAATCACAGAAAAGATAAGCGAATAATTCGGAAGTATTTCCAAAATCAACGAGAGCGCTCCCCAAAAAATTCATGAAAGTCTTCTCTGTTTGTTTCAATCCATTCAACTAGCTCAACTTCCAACATTAGTAAGAAGAGTTGGGTCCTTATAATATTAAATGGGTAAACCCTCTTGCGTAAACCAGATATATCAAATTGAGCAGCACAGATAGCACTTGTACAGATCATGTGAAAATGGACATGGTTTTAGTAAAAGTGGTGGTAAAAATAGCATAAAGACCATAATCAGGTTGAAAACATACCATCCTTTCCAGTACTTCTCTGTTTTCTCAAGAGGAGTACGGTATGTATAGCTGAAACAAAGTACACCAATATATTTAGTCACCCAAATAATGGCCAATATCAAGTAAATGCACTTTTTTTCTCTAACCACATTGAGCTTCAAGATACAGGCATGCATTACGTAAGATATTGCTTACCATTCCTTTGATTCATCATACTTCAAGGTAGATGGAATAGAAATACGCGCAGAATCGATGTTCCGTAGCGGCCCACCTTTCACACTCCATTCAATCTGTGTAATTATAAGTTTGATTAAACAAAAATAGGGTGAAGGATATATTTTAGCATGCTACACTTGGCTTTTTTATAAGAATTCCACTTGCATTGAGTGGCTTCTACTTGTTCTATTTTATTTCTTCATTTATATCTTGCGGCCATGGACAGGGGTGCGTGGAAGCTTGCTATCCATGTGCCAGAACCATGAGTTGGTCGCAAGATCTTATGGGTTTCACCTCTAGCCTACCCCAACTTGTTTGGGACTAAAGGCTTTGTTTTGTTGTTGTTATGTCTTGCGGCCATAATCTTTACAACATCAAATCCATACTTCCAAAAATCAAGTGATGAAGGACAGCATAATGAACTAAAGATGAGAATTCAGATACTGTGGACAGCAAAGATACTTAAAGCTGAAATGGCATGAGCACACAGAATATAGTTTTGAATCAACATACTGCTTTTTCAATGCTCGGGAAGTGCTGTGCTCGATTTAATAAGATTTTCTGCATATGAATCAATGAAGCCATTGCTGTTCCCTGTGTGCGAATGGAGAAGTTTGAAATCAACAATGAGTCAGATCGTTTCATGTGCAACCATAATGTAAGATCTAACATAAGTAAACTGTTACTAACCTCAACCACATCAACAACAACAAGACCATGAAGATTACGAATTGCTCTTCTTGCAGCCACATGTACAGCCACTGAACCACCCATGCTAAAAAAAGAGGTCAAAGAGTGGATCACTATTCCCTAAAAGTTACCAAGAACACTTATCAGAATGAACAAGCTTGCTGAGTCAAGAATACGCATAGTACAACCAGCCAAGTAACAGGAGAGTAACAAAAGGTAGAACGTATTAGTGATTTGTATCATGACATTTTAGTGTTAGTTTTATAACCGTGGAAATTAGCTTCCAGAAACTATTAAGATAATTTACTTGTATGTTAATGTTTTTTGGCTACATGCACCGTACCAAGGGATATATCACGCTAATATGTCCACTGACTAGAACTTCAGTCAAGTGCCTTCAGATAAAGGAGGCACACACAAAAGAAGAAATACACAATGCTGACTTACCTATGACCAACAAGTATAATTGCTGGTGGCGGATCTCCATACAATGTACGTATAACAGCTATTACATCATTGGTAAGACTCTGCAGTTGCAAATAAAAAGAACATCGACAAAGGTCAAGGCCAAGAAGCATGGAGTACCTTATAAGTATGAAAAGTGTAGCTATCTATCAAATTAGTAAGTTATGGAAACAGTGAAAAAACATACTTCAATGGACAGATCCAAATCATCACTTGTGGAAGATTTCCCATGTCCCCGTAAATCCATGGCAACAACACGAGCCTTTCCCTTTATCTGATTAGCTGCTAGCGCAAATGAAAGCCTAAGGAAGATTGAGGAATAAACATACCAATGTGAGCAATAAGCACACATTTGTTAAATAAGCAAGTTTCCAAGGCAACAGTTCACATGGAGTATAGTCAAGTCACTTGGAGAAGGATTTACATGATTATTGTAAATAAAAGCAAATGTTATCTTTAAAAACTGTTCAGTACGCCTAAAACAGAAACAATAATAAATTGCAATATTAGCAGAATAACGATTTCATTTTGTCCTTTCTACATTTGATATTTATCTATCAGTCCACACTGAATTTACCCAAAACATTCCACAAATACAACAGAAGTTGGGGTGGGTACATTTTCCCTAAGGCCATAATAGCTGGGAGGTGTGCTTTAGAAATTTAGCCAAACACACCTGAACATCTGCATTTTGCAACATAAGCTTTCCAGGGTTCCAGCACGGCCGTTCATCACTAGTTAGTAGTTAATCAATGATTTTGAAAATCACAGAAACTAGCGGCTGTCTGCGTATTCGTATGCAAATTATGCTGCATTGTCACCGTGCTCATTGTAGCCGTAACGTCTGAATCTAAACTTACCCAGAGTAGCCGCCTCCGTGCAGACAGAACACGACGGGCCCTTCCGATCCGGCCATGTACACATTGAAAACCTACACACACAAAGAACCCAGAAGGAACACTTCCAATAGTCAGATCACACATCACACAGGAGCAATCCGAGAAATTCCCCTGCTCTCTAGCGCACGTACGTCCTCGGTGTCGGGGATGGCGACGGGGCGCTCCTCGTCGAAGTAGGCCGACCAGTCCGTCGGCGCGTACTTGTGGAGCGAGTGGCTGCGGAGGAACATGGGTTAGGGCTTCTCTCGCGGTAGAGACAGTGAGGAGACAGGTGGGGCTGGCGGCTTACTGCGTGGCGGGGCGAGGCGGCACGGCGGCGGCGGAGAAGGCGGAGGAGGAGGACGATTCGTCGGGTTCCCCTTCCTCCTGCAGCGAGGAGAGCGGCGCGGCCTCCATCGACGCGGCTGGGCTGGGGAGGAAGAGTCGATGGAGTGCGTGGGGAGAGCGGAGAAGGGTCTCTCTCGAAGGCACGGCGAACCCCAAAAGACGAAGGGAAATGGAGAAAGAGAAGCGAACAGAGCGTGAAGAAAGACGATCTACAGTTCTAGGCTACACAATCACGGCATTTTCCAAGATGCTCATGAAAAAAAAGCATCTATATTGATTTTTTTTTTCTTCCCATCGTTGGTGGGTCTCATCATTAGTTAGAATATAAAGACTCTACACATGCATCTCTACTCTACACTTCAATTTTTTCAGCTTTTTTTTACATCAGACCACATTTTTTCTCTCCACACCCGCCTCTTGCAGAGGATCTTGATTCCCTATCGAACCTACTTTTCCTGACATCTGATCCTACATGGCATATGAGACATCATCATGGGGCTATGCATTGGCCATGCCCTCAGAGCATCTTCAACACATGATGCAAAAGTTAATTAACACCAAAAAGTGTTTTGCAGAGGATGTCGTTTCTCTATCGAAGCTACTTTTCCTGACATCTGATCCTACATGACATGTGAGGCATCACCCTGAGCCTATACATTGGTCATGCCTTCAGAGCATCTACAACACATGATGCAAAAGTTAACACCCAAATAGTGTTTTTTTAGTGATTTTTAGGGTAGGGGAGAGAAGATTTTTGGGCATAATTTTTTTCCTGCCGTGACAGATGCCCTAAAACTTTCAAACATGGTTCTTTGTATATTCTGAAATTTCAAACTCAAATACAAAATGTTCAACATTAAGGTGTCGTATTGAAGCTTGGCTTTTTGTGTAAATTTGGTGAGATTGACTATGAAATGCGTTTCAAACATGAACATGATTCATTGTATATTCTGAAATTTCAAACTCAGATACAAAATCTTCAACATTAAGCTATCCTATTGAAGCTTGGCTTTTTGTGTAATTTGGTGAGATTGACTATGAAATGTGTTTTCGTCAATTCGATTCTCAATTCGTGTGAATGAAGAATTGCAACCTTATTTCACTCCTTCGAGGGGCCCTCAGCTAGGTGACCCTATGTCATCATATCTTTTTCTGCTATGTGCCGAAGGTTTTTCTTCACTTCTAAATCCTTGGGTGAACCACTTGCTTTTCACTCATGATAGTCTCATTTTTCATGAAGGTGACTACGGAGAGTGCAATTACACTCAATGAGATCCTCGGGATTTATGGAGATGCGTCGGGACAATGTGTTAACAAGAACAAACGGTCTATCCATTTCATCCCCAACTCACCCACAACTTCTCAGGCATAATCTAAAACAGCTTCTCGGCGTTCAGGTGGAAGCTTTTTCAGAACATTATCTTGGTCTACTCACCGTTGTTGGAAGGATCAATAGTCGTACTTTTGACCACATCAGGGATCGGGCTAGAGGCAAGATGCAAGGATGGTCAGAGATTGTTTGCACGTGTTAGCTAGAGAGACTTTGATCAAGTCGTTCATTCGAGCGATATTGACGTATAGCATGAATTGTTGCTTCTTGACAAAAATGTGTGTACAAGTTTTATCCCGAGTATGGCAAAATTCTGGTGGGGGAGTTCTCTTGATAGAAGGTCTCTCCACTGGATAGCATGGGACAAACTAGCAACACCAAAGGCTAATAGCGGAATGTGATTATGTGACTTTCATTTGTTTAACTTGACACTTATTGGGAAACACGGATGGAGATTTATGATGAACCCTAACTCTCTTTGTGCCAGAGTTATGAAAGGTAGGGTTCCCTAGAGGGTGAATGTTGCGGGACGATGTGCGCTTCAAATTGGGATAGTGAAACGAGTTTGGAGATGGTTCCTCTATTTTGGTGTGGGGAGACGGGTGGGTTCCCTCTGTTGTTTCAATGACAACTATGCTTCAGCCAACAACAATGACAGTGCAAACTCTCAAATGATTTGATTGACACATATACTTGGACTTTGTGACAGAAGCTTGTGCGGGACACATTCATACCACCTAATGTCAGTGCAATCTTGAACATCCCTCTTCGGCACAATGGTGCTGAAGATTTCTTAGCCTCGGAACATCAGAAATCCGGTATCTACTCTGTTAAATTGCCGTATCAAGCTCTGGTGAATCAAAATGAGCGTCCGGCTCTAAATGAAGGGAAGGTTACGGGATCTTCAGTGGACCAACAACAAATGTGGAAGGCTATTTGGAAACTCGACGTAGTTCCCAAGGTGGAGGTTTTCTGGCCGGTGGCGTGTGATTCGAGGTATTATACCTGATGAATGTACTCTGAAGCACAAGCAAGGAACTCAACACTTGCAAAGTTTGTCTAGCCATGGATGAAGACCTAGAGCATGATCTTGTACTTTGTTCTCATGCTCGTCTGTTCTGGGAGGAAGCCAAGCTCGTATGATATTCATGTCCCCCAGCTTCATCCTAGTAACCTAGTTCATGGACCAAGGCATTCTATGTGATCTGCGGTTCTCAGATAAGGATAGATAGATCATCATCACCGTAATGTGGGACATTTGGATGTCTCGCAACATATGGACTCGTGATCATGAGTGGAACCTTCTTGTTAGCTTGGTCAGAAGAATCAGAGAAGACCTAACTCTCTTGGATCTACCTCGCCAGCAGCCCCTGATGCTGTCGGGCTATGGTTGGCGCGCAGCCTCCGGACGCAACACAAGTCAAGATTAAAAGTGAAGTTACAATTCATTTTGATGGCGGCAATGCTCGAGATGGAGGTGTAGCTCGCTCTTCTTTGGCTTTCAAAGGTGCATGGTGCAAGCCTCACTTGGGGTCACTGATCCCCTCGTTGTCGAGGTCCTATCAATGAAGGATGTTGTCATCTACACCAAGTTGAGAGGCTTCACATATGTGATCATGGGAACCGACTGTCTAGAGGCAGTTAACATGTGGAACACTCGCTACACCAATCATTGGATTGGAGGGGCCTGACTTGTGGTCATTTCTGGTAGACGGCTTCACCTCCTCTTCATCGACGTCCATGTTGGGGAACGTAGTAATTTCAAAAAAAAAATCCTACGCACACGCAAGATCATGGTGATGCATAGCAATGAGAGGGGAGAGTGTGATCTACGTACCCTTGTAGACCGACAGCGGAAGCGTTAGCACAACGCGGTTGATGTAGTCGTACGTCTTCACGGCCCGACCGATCAAGCACCGAAACTATGGCACCTCCGAGTTTTAGCACACGTTCAGCTCGATGACGATCCTCGGACTCCAATCCAGCAAAGTGTCGGGGAAGAGTTCCGTCAGCACGACGGCGTGGTGACGGTCTTGATGTTCTACCGTTGCAGGGCTTCGCCTAAGCACTGCTACAATATTATCGAGGATTATGGTGGAAGGGGGCACCGCACACGGCTAAAAAAACAATCACGTGGATCAACTTGTGTGTCTAGGGGTGCCCCCTGCCCCCGTATATAAAGGAGCAAGGGGAGGAGGCCGGCCGGCCCTATAGGCGCGCCAAGGAGGAGTCCTCCTCCTAGTAGGAGAGGGGGAAGGAAGTGGAGAGGGAGAAGGAAAGGGGGGCGCCGCCCCCCTTCTCCTAGTCCAATTCAGACCAGGGGGAGGAGGCATGTGGCCCACCCTGGCTACCCTTCTCTTTCTCCACTAAGGCCCATATGGCCCATTACTTCTCCCGGGGGGGTTCCGGTAACCCTCCGGTACTCCGGTTTTCTCCGAAATCACTCGGAACACTTCTGGTGTCCGAATATAGCCGTCCAATATATCAATCTTTATGTCTCGACCATTTCGAGACTCCTCGTTATGTCCGTGATCACATCCGGGACTTCGAACTAACTTTGGTACATTAAAACTCATAAACTCATAATATAACCGTCATCGAAACCTTAAGCGTGCGGACCCTACGGGTTCGAGAACAATGTAGACATGACCGAGACATGTCTCCGATCAATAACCAATAGCGGAACCTGGATGCTCATATTGGCTCCTACATATTCTACGAAGATCTTTATCGGTCAGCCCGCATAACAACATATGTTGTTCCCTTTGTCATCGGTATGTTACTTGCCCGAGATTCGATCGTCGGTATCTCAATACCTAGTTCAATATCATTACCGGCAAGTCTCTTTACTCGTTTCGTAATACATCATCTTGCAACTAACTCATTAGTTGCAATGCTTGCAAGGCTTATGTGATGTGCATTACCGAGAGGGCCCAGAGATACCTCTCCGACAATCGGAGTGACAAATCCTAATCTCGAAATACGCCAACCCAACATTTACCTTTGGAGACACCTGTATAGCTCCTTTATAATCACCCAGTTACGTTGTGACGTTTGGTAGCACACAAAGTGTTCCTCCGGCAAACGGGAGTTGCATAATCTCATAGTCATAGGAACATGTATAAGTCATGAAGAAAGCAATAGCAACATACTAAACGATCGGGTGCTAATCTAATGGAGTGGGTCATGTCAATCACATCATTCTCCTAATGATGTGATCCCGTTAATCAAATGACAACACATGTCTATGGTTAGGAAACATAACCATCTTTGATTAATGAGCTAGTCAAGTAGAGGCATACTAGTGACGTTTGGTTTGTCTATGTATTTACACAAGTATTATGTTTCCGGATAATACAATTCTAGCATGAATAATAAACATTTATCATGATATAAGGAAATAAAATAATAACATTATTATTGCCTCTAGGGCATATTTCCTTCAGTCCCCCACTTGCACTAGAGTCAATAATCTAGATTACACAATAATGATTCTAACACCCATGGAGCCTTGGTGCTGATCATGTTTTGCTCGTGGAAGAGGCTTAGTCAACGGGTCTGCAACATTCAGATCCATATGTATCTTGCAAATCTCTATGTCTCCCACCTGGACTAGATCCCGGATGGAATTGAAGCGTCTCTTGATGTGCTTCGTTCTCTTGTGAAATCTGGATTCCTTTGCCAGGGCAATTGCACCAGTATTGTCACAAAAGATTTTCATTGGACCCGATGCACTAGG